ACCCGAAGCCCACATGACCTGCATTAGTTTTGACGCAGGACCTGGTTGCATCGGCGCATCACAAGGAGGTGATTGAAGCCCGGAAGGCCGTTGGACTCTTCCTGCTGAAGCATCGATTTGACCCGGGAGATGTGAACTCAAGACCCACCGGATGGTTGTCTCGCTGCGGATGGGCGACCTACCCCTTGCATGAGGCGGTGAAACAGAATGACGCCTACATTACATCTGCCCTCTTGATGTTTGGGGCAAACATGGAGACCAAGGACAGCTGGGGCCATACTGCTTGTCATTATGCAGAAGGAGAGAAGCAAGCAGAGGTGAGAAAGGTCTTGCAACATCATTCCAAGTACTGCCTTTCGCCACATGCGCCATGTTTGTGTGGACATCCATGCCAGTATTGTCCCCCTCCTCGTGGTTTTGAAGAGTTCTTCGCCCACCTCGAGATGGATCCTTTGGTGCAAGTTCCTAGTAGTGAGGCGCAATGGCTGCTATTTCGTGGACCCAAAGCCTTGCGGGCGCACCAACTCCCAAATGGGTCGTTGGCACACAAGGCTTGCGGATCGGTTGCCGATGCAAAGCTTGCATCGATAATTCAACACTCCAAGTGCGATCTTGTCCAATTGTAGGGCGCAAGAAGCTACTAGTAGCTCCTGGCCTTACTACTAGGAGCAAGAAGCTACTATAGGAACAAAGGGCATCGCTACTAGGAGCGATTGGACGCCTACTAGGAACAAGAAGCTATTCGGCTTTTGGGAAATCCCTTTTGAGTGCCGCATGGCCACCACGGTACTGTCTGTATGGCTTTATGGGTGATGTGTGGTGACTCTTCCGTGATGAGTTTGGAAGAGAAGCAAGCAACAAAAATGCATTTCTGAAGACTTAAGACGCACCACATGATAAACCCAAATTTGTTAATGCTTTTTGATGCATGTTGGCTGGTACAGTCGCTCCATTGGGACGGCATGTGCGGGCCAGTGGTTTTGACAGGGCACACCTCGTCCAGAAGAGAAACTTTTAGCACATTGCACTTTTGGGGCTAGCTCACTCGCTGAAATTGTGTAAAGGTTGGTGAACATCTCCAGCATAGGATTCGCATTTCGATTTTTGTGGTTGAAGTTTGTTGGTTGGTTGTGCAAGTCCTTTTGCACTCGCTTTGCCACACTTCGTCACTGTTAGGGAGAATTGGAGCAGTTGTGCTGAACACTTCAATCACATGTTGTCTCAGCAAGGCAAGGTGGACCTGAGTGCTGGACTTTCCCAGATTTTCGACCACCGCGGGGTGGTCTCCTGCGCCTCTCGTGCGCAAGACCCCCCCTATCGGTTGTGGAAAGTCCGCTGTGATGTGTTCGACGGATTCTGGGAGAATCCCGATGGTTTCGACGTGTTGCCAGACTCCCACTGAGGGTCTGTGTTCAGCACAACCTTCCACGAAACGACGTCTCTGCGAAACGACACGAAACGACCATCGAGCCAAGGCCAACGCCTGGAGTGACGCTTGCGCCTGCGGCGTTCGCGGCGTTCGACCGACTTTTCATGACACCGGTTTACCGGCTTCATCAAGCGTACGTCCGAACAAGGGGGCGTGAGGTCTTTTTTTGACTCAGCCTGGTGAGGTCCGAAGTAATTCCGGACAGGGTTCTTCCATTTTTGCAGCATCCTTTTGCACAAGGCGAACAGGCACACGAAGCACAAGCAGTCAAAAATGCAACTCACCGTTTGGTGGAGAACCATCAAAAGAAGGGGCCAACAAACTACACATGATGCAGTGGAGGGCAAAACTTTGTCCTGTTTCATTGAATCAGACAACTCTGGCTTTGTGTGTTGCAATTGGGGGTCAAATGACACCAATATATCCGAGGAAAGAAACAGAAAACAATAGAATTCATAATAGACCAATATATAGCCCCAAGTCGTGTGACCCCAAAAATGGAACCTTCAATGGGTAGTCTACCTATCCCTTTTCATATGGAATCTGGGCTTGGTATGTTCAATCCCGCTGCGATTCTGCACAGGCATAAACTTTGAGTTGGCAACAGATTGCATTTGTGTTTCTTGTTTCAATAGAACAATTTTTTGGCATAGGTTGCTCGCGGTTTATTCCTTATACTTCTATAATCCTATATATATAAATTGGAGAAACCATTGTTAAACTTGTTGATGGGAATCATCAAGTTGTTCCCTCGAGTCCTCGAGTGTAAGTTTTTAAAGAGCTTTGTAGTTTAAAGGAGTACACCATGATGTGTCCAGGAGTCTCATGCTTTTGCTGCAGATGGAAGTTGCCATGCAGTCAACTCTAGTTGCACAGGAAAGTGTGGTCGTGCGTATTTCTGGGGTACCTTTGTCCATGTCATCCGGAAGGCTGCAAATCCCGATTGTTGGCCCTAGATCCTGTCAGACCTGGGTTCTGTGGTTGTTGTTGTTGTCGTTTGTGTTTTGTTGCCCATAGAACACAGAACATAAGATACATATGATATGTAATTAATATAACATCGTGTAACAGCATAGAAGTATGCTTTTGGCTGGCCAGTGGCCACCAACCTCCAGCTATCTCGGTTTGGCTGATCTATTTGGTCCACAATCGGGTTCATCCCTGCCTGATTTGTGTGAACATGGTGATGCCCAGAGTCCGACGGCACTTGATCACGGGCAGCCGCGAAAAGGGCCGTGCGATCTGGTCGCTGTGTCCGTGCTCGACCGATCTGGAATGAGGGCTTGGAACAGGGCTTGCCTCGGTTTTGCTGATTCGACTTGTGAGTTCATGGTTAGATGTGTTCAGATACATTTGTGGAATGTTTGGATGTCCAACGAGTGTCGATTAAGACAAACAGGCCTTTCGATCTTCAGACCTTTAGACAAATTGATGTTTTTTTGTGACGTGTCCAGTTTAGGTAGGACTGGGGTGTTCCACTTAGGCGAAGCATACCTCCGAAGCAAGCCTCCGAAGCATACCCCACAGGCAAACATCCCGGCCCGGAGACGTCAAAATAATACAAACCATTTGACGGCCAAGTCCATCTCGCCTAGTCCTAGTCCAGTTCGCTCGCAGGGAAGACCCTTGGTTGGAGCCATCGTGGTTGACTCCATCGCCTTCAGCTTCCGCCATGACAGACGCGTGGTGGAAGACGGCCGACACGTGGGGTCCCAGTTGAATCACAGTGACTCTCTCTCCTTGGTTTAGAAACAAGGAGATCAGTTGGATACATCAGTTGAATTGAATGACTTGATCTGACTGATCGCAAGATAAATGTGTTTGCTCCAAGATAAAGCTGTTGGACCAGTACCAGACTCCATTGAAGACTCTTGAAAGGTCCCTACATTTGAGCCAATCGGCTGGGGCTGTCACAGACCAAAAACATGAGGCTGGGATGGGTTTATGGAATAAAAAGGATATCAGTTGGTGAAAGGTTCCTTTGGATCTTGCCGGAAACCGTGCCGGACAAGATCAATGATCAGCATGGGAGCTGGGAAAAGAACGGCCGGAAAGAGCGGGGTAGAAAGAGTGGAAATAAGATGCCATGTTTGTATATATATAATGTTAGTATGTTTAATTATGCATGGTTGTTTGTTTCGCTGGATAAGTGCAGAAAAAAGTCAGATAATTTCAGAGAAGGGGCAGATGCTCACCAAAGTTAACGAAGATGCGCATTCTGTGTATAGTAATCATATTGGACTGGATGATGGGCATGATGTCCAGTCCCCCATCCAAGTGTCGCTTAAGAATCGGATGTGACTCGATCGTCAGACATGGTACTCAACGGGGCAGACATGGTACCTTCTTTTTTGTTCTTCCAAATGTGCTCTTTTGAGCTCATTTCAATTGGGGCACCTCAAATCAATTCGATGATGGACCTGGCGGAGTTCCAATGTCTTTGTGATCTCAGGAATTCCAACGAAAAACACCGCAGCGATGGAGAAACACCGATGCGAAGCCAGGAGTTGATGGAGAACACGGCTCAACGTGCTCGGGTCGGACGCGTCACTGACGTTGGGCTAGTGTGTTGGTGCCTGGAGAATGGCTTGGGATGGGGTATGTATTTATTGTTTAGTGTTGTTTTATTTGTTTAGGGGAAAAGTCATGTGTACAGTTCTTTTGTGTTTTCAGGCCGTCTGAAAATATAATTATATGATATGTTTCTGTTGCCCAGCTTTGCCGTTCCAGTCATGTCAACAGTCAAATGCCCTTTGGTGGGGCAGACACTCGGGGTGGAAGCCGATTAATTTCCGCAACAGAGGTAGTATAGAGCTGGAGTTCGCGAACCAATCACTGGAAGGGTCGGTGTGTGAGCTCCAAGTTGGAAGTGTTGGACCAGGAATTTGGGTTTTGATCAGGGAGCCCATGGTTTGATATGTTTTGGGGTGTTCGATCAGGGACTGGCTGGATGTGTTTGTTGGTGAGCCCATGGTATTTTGGGTTTGGAGCCGTTTTTGAGCCCGCAGAGCCCAAGAAACCCAACCAGAGGACCTCTCCTGTCGACTTGGAATCAGACAGAAGCCGACCGAAGGACTTGTAGGGCCTTCAGGACTTTAGATCGATCATCTCTGCTTGAAGTCTTCTGTGCTCGTGTAGTTCACGGAAAACTCGGGTTCACTTACACGTCCTCTCTGCACGGAACCAGTTCCTAACGTCGAAAAACGAACAGTTTGGTGTGGAACAGTTTGCCGTTTTTGTGGATGTGATGGTGATGGTCGGGGCACCAATAGGGACTCTTCATATTTTTGATGGATAGCACCCTGTCATGGAACTGGTACATTCTCAGGTCCAGGAACTCGCTGCAGCTTTAGACTCCGGCTGGTCCTATTCAGGTTTCTTTGTCCCAGCGGATCGTGGTTTCCATGTCTTCAGATGTTTGGAGGCCGAGGCCGGTTCAGGTGAGCCGTGGACCAGTCATGTGGGTGGTCTAGTGGAGTTCCGAGTTCCGGGCTGGGGAGGTGTGGCCCCAGCCTCTCTCCAATCACTACCAGAAAAGAAGAGCATTTGCTGCATCGAGTGCGTTTCCCGCAGCCTTGTGTTGGGCTCAGCTCAACCATGTTGCCGGCCATGGCGCAAGGATACCTCTCCCAGGCAACGCCGAAGCAAAAAGAATCACGGCGGAAGGTGCTTTCCCCCGGCCAAATGGATTTGATTGGATCTTCTTTCGCTGTATCAAACAGTCCACCATTTTAATCTGTTTTGTTTGACCTTTTGGTCCGTTGACCCGGTGACCTTTGTGTTTGTTCTCGGACCCTCGGACCCCTCGGACCCCTCGGTTCGTGCGCAGCGATCAAATAGGAAACAATGGAAAAGCTTCGGAGAGCCAATAGTCCATGGATGTAGCCCGAGATGCTCCGTGCATAAAATATTATCACCATACGTTTGAGAAAGGCCTTGAACCAGCGGAAAATCCACTGTTACAGGGAATGGGATGAATGGGATATACCGTGATATACCCAAATCATCGCTTCGTCTGCAAACTTGGAGTTCCATCCTCTCTCATTGGATGTGTTTTTTCAGTAACATTCAGTAAAACATTATCAATCTCTTGACAACCTTTAGTTTGCTCATAGGGAACATCCACGAACACCGGGGCACCTACCGCAGCATCCGGTTTTCGCCGCAGCATCCGTTCGCCGTGAAGTTCACCGGTCCTCCTCACCAGGAGAACAGTGGTTCCGTTGCCTGGCCAGACTCAGCTTTGAAGGCCGAGAAAGACGAGTCGTCCCTGTCTTCGTGCCAGGCACTCCCATCGGTTCAACAGAGTGTTTTTGTTTTTGTTTTAACGTGTGTTTTTCTTGTTCGTTTGAACATCAGGGACCTGGCTTTGATGAATCTAACATCCTGAACAATATGCACAGATTGTTTGATGTTATTTTTGTGGGGAAGAATCAACAACGTTCATGGGAGCTTTTTCAGTGGCCATGCTTTTGGAGAAGCGTCCCGTCATGGGAGGTATTGAGGTGAAGTCACCGCCTGGCATTCGGCCGATGGTCACTGGGTACACCATTGGGTGATATTGGGTGAAAAATGCAACAACCAAATTACTTTTGTTGTCTTTTTTCCCACTTGGGAAGGGTGACATTCCAATTGAATAAAAAGGACTCACACTTTTGATGCAAGATGCGTGCATGTGGAGTAAATAAACAAGAACACTGATAGATGCTGATCGCGCAGAAGTTGTGTTGCGTCTTGGAGTTGGCAACGTGTTGAGATGCAAACTTTGGCGTAGCAACAAAAACGGAACCTCGGTTGAACCACCAAAGTGACACGACGCGGAACGCGGACGCATCGCCGGTTCGCCAGGAGAACGCATGTGAGGACTCTCTGAAAGCCATGGGCCGCTCGGGTGAAATCGGTTCGGCTCCACCTGACGACACTGGACGCGATCGGAGTGTCCCGTTCATCCCCGTACGATCACCGCGGGAAACCTGCCATTGGCATCCATTGGCCGTGTTTGTTTTCCCAACATGTTTGCTGCAAGAAGTGGAGGCCATCCCTTTTAGGTTGGAGGCCTTTGCTAGTAGGTTGGAGGCCATCGCTGTAGTCTTTGCAGCGAAATCAACAAACGACTAAATGTTGGTTTCACAGGGTGCATTTTATCAAGAAAGCATCGATATGTTTAATGTTATATTTATTTAAATCAGATGTTGAGTGGTTCAGCGGGGTACAGGTTCTTTGCAGCCTAAATTGCTCAAACCGGTCCGACAAGGACGCGTGCATTGCCTGAGTTAGTGCACTGATTATGATTTCGAACTTCGACAGTTCTTTTATCCATACTGGCCAAATCGGTGTTTTCATCAACACCATGTTCATACTGCAGCACAACTCGTCCAAATACGGCCTTCGAGCATTAATACTTAGGATGATAGAATCATATATTTGATAATGCACCTCAACAAAGCAAGGCCCTTTGAATAGAGAGACCATTCTGAGGAGGTAATTGAGTCAGAACGTTCCTTTTGGATTCATTGGGATGTTCTTTAGACTCTGATTCAGTGGACATTGTTTAGTTTCCTACAAGTTTCTTGCCAATAACCATGTTGAGGTTTTACTCTTGGAGCTGCATTCACTTGGAGAGTAAGGTCACAAAGCCTGAAGCACAGAGGTCGAGTTCGCTTTCCAAGATTCTTCCACTAGGAACAAGAGAAAACAATCTTCTTATCGACTCCAAGAAAACCTGCTGGCCGACTCGACGCCGCTTTCTTCCATTTCTCCCGTCGTTCTCCGGAACCCGACGGCACCGGGTTCCCCCAGGTAGCTATGCCCTAGTAGCTTCTTGCTACTAGTAGTAAGGCGAGGAGCCCCTAGTAGCTTCTTGTTCCTAGTAGCGATGCCCTTTGCTCCTAGTAGCTTCTTGTTCCTAGTAGCGATGCCCTTTGCTCCTAGTAGCTTCTTGTTCCTAGTAGCGATGCCCTTTGCTCCTAGTAGCTTCTTGTTCCTAGTCGACACCGTCGACACCCGGTTCCCCCAGGTGAACTTCGTGCCTTTGAGGCGACCGAGGGTCTCGGTGTTTGAGACCGGACGAGGTCATTTCGACGGACCGTGCCCGGGACGGACCGTGGTCAGTCAGTCGAGGACCGGACCGGTGATTCACGGATTCTTTAGTGGGGATATGTGGTGAATTATTTGTCCATCTATTTGGAATATACTACACATTATATATACAAAGGGGTGCTTAATGGAGGTTAGGATGTGGTGGTTCAAAAAGGTACAGAACACATGTTGAATGAGATCCACTGTGTGGATGGTGTGCTCGCGTTCGTTGATCTTAGCATGCCATAGGGCCACACCATGTGTTGGGTGTCTCACAACCCAGGTGACAGATCCTCCACAGGCCCAGCAGAATCCAAAGTACGAACGAACATCGAAGGCATGTTCCTCCCAAATCCCCACACTAAACATTTGGAACCATTGCTTCGTTGCTTCATTGGCAATATGTCGTTTGTTCTCCAGGCCAGCGAAAAAGGAACGACACTGAATCAATGGACCACAATGGACCACGCTGCCAGCTGCAGGACGCTGGTCACACATGACCCGCCAGTTATTGGATGACTTGAGAGACGGCACGGACGTCGGTTGGTCGGATGGTCATTGTTCGTTGGTCGGGTGACATCTCCATAGCTCAACAAAAGAGAGCTCGTATCGCCACGGGAAAAAAAAAACAAATTGGAATTCACCGTCATCCATTCACGGGGACCTGACTGCGCTTGTGATTTTTTGTTGGAGGCTGTCATCCAGGGGTCAAAATTCAGTGGTGTGCCTTCAAATAATGTTGTTTCATGTTTGTTAATTTTGCAATCTCCCCTCCATAGGGATTTTGTAACATCTCCCTGGGGGGGTAACACTTAATCCATCAACATTGGGGTTAGAGCTTAACATTCTGGGCAAACCCAATGGTGGGGCCTTCACTCCGGAACGCGCCCTTCGTTCACCCAACTTTAGGTCGAAGAATAGATCCCACAGATCCCTGAACATGTCGTACATATATATTGCCTTGCTATAGATGATTTCAGGTTGAGGCAATTTGTTTTAGCAGTTTCTTCTATCGAACGCCCGTATCAACAGCCATGGGCCATGTTTGGATTCCGAGTCAAGCGGGGTCAAGTGGGTCAGGTCGCCAGCACCTGTGCCACGGAATCTGATCAGAGCAAAGCACGGGGCCTCAGCAGACGGTCCAGTGGGTCGTCCGACTGCTACGGATGGACCCAGGACCGTTGGACCGTTCTCTGGCCGGAGGCCATTGCTCTTAGGTTGGAGACCATCGCTAGTAGGATGGGGCATATAAAACATGATATATGCTCTGCCATGACATGCACCGAACGCGGCTTTTTGGACATGATTGGATGGCAGACCCGATGATTGGATGGGACTTGCAGGGACTTGCACGGGGTAGGATTCAGAGGTCAGCCCTTTGAGTCAGTCAGAATCTGCGTATTTGTTCATATTCATCACATGTTTTTGAAGTTCGAGGGGCATGCTGCATGCATATCAAATGCTTAAGCAGCAATGATATAGCTCGTCTCTATAAAGCCACTTGCCAAACGTTTCCCTGCTTTTCCAAGACAAACTCAACATAGCCCAACCAGAGCAAAGAGGGGGGAGAACCAAAGATCGAGGTGCTTCCAAACGGGGCGCCTTCTTCGGCCCCAGCCGGTTGGTTTCTTCGACGACCTTTTCGCAGGGGCTGCCCGGGATTTCCGAGAACTGGAAGAGAGGCCGTCGTCGGCCGTTTCCCGCGACGACCGGCGCCGGAAGAGGTCCGTCTTCTAACAGGGGGGTGTCGGACACGGTTTAGGACAGCGAAAGGCGAGTCTTAACGCGAAGAGTCTTCAGAGCGAAGTTCAAGTTGGAAGCCGACAAAATACGCAAAAACAAGCTGCATGTGGCTTGAACAATGTACTTCACGGTTTGCACATACACCCAGCATGGTCTGGGATTTACTAATATGGATTTACATGGATTTACTAAAACACTTGGCGAAGTGTTTCGGACTGATTTCTGAATTGCGGGTGCGGCAAACGTGCACACATTGCTATCACCCCGGTCATGAAACTGCATTGTCAGACTATGCCGTCCTGCATTGTCCTGCATGCATGATTCATGCATGGGACGTACCATATCGGAGCATTTATTATATGGAGCCATTCCATGGTAGAGAGAGGATCCCCACCTTCAAAACAATACACGAGAAACAGCACTTCATAATATGACTTTGCCATCAAAAGAGGGACTTCTCGATGATAGACATTGTCAGGACACCCCTTTTGGGTGTGGATTGGAGACTCCAAGGAATTGTCACAGAAATTACAATAGTTCAACCCACATTCGACAGCTACCATACATACAGGATGGATCCACCACACCCCTCGCCCCATTTTTCTGACATATATACCACCTGTCCCACAGATGATCCACATGATCCACAATCTCCCTGTTCTCGATTCGGACAGACTTTGACTCCTTTAACATCTCGAGCTTTGGTATGCTGGACCTGGAGCGATTTCAGTCCCATGGCAGCAACTCCGAAAGCGAGGGATCGGACGAGAAGAGGAGCAAGCGTGCCGCGGGAAGACAAACAGGCCGCTTTTAAGATGGAATTCATGTGTTTGTTGGGTGAATCCAAGTGGTGCTTTCAATGTTCCATCACGGATGGGCTACGGTTTTAGGACCTGGACCACCTTTCAGTGATTTGGGACTCCAAAGCAAGGGCGATAAAGACTAGCGAGGATGCAAGGATAGGGTGTTGTTGCAGAGTTGCAATGAGATGGTGAAGCAAAAAGAGGAAAACCATTAGAAACCAGAGTACTCCTCAGAGTATAGCTATAGGCTGTTAGACGACAAGTGTTGCGATGGTTTCTGTGGACACCTTTAGATGTTGACCGAGGATTCTTGACAGGCCGGCCACGGCCCCTACAGCCTACCAGAACGTTCATGGATTCTCATGCCGCACGGGTTTTCACCTGTTTGGTACTTGGAAAATGGATGTTCCAAAATACCATGCCATCCACTTCCATGTTAGTTCCCAGGGTGCCAGACCCTGCCCATTTCGACAGGCCTTTGAGCTTCGCCGGCCACTGCCGGCTTCATCAAAGCATCGAATGCCAGGTGTTCATCTCAATGGTAGCATTGGGAGTAATCTCATATATAGCCTATAGCCTACTATAGCCTATGGTTCAAGATCTCTATGAGTGTCCATCTCTGTCATTCTATGATTCTATTCCAGTACCCTCCAAGGGGTGCCCTGTCTGGAAGCCTATAGGTATTGTGGGGAAGTGTAGCCGATGGACACCCCGACAGGAGGGTCCTGGTTTGTTAGCGTCTTCATTTGTTCTGTGTGACCGACCTTCGACCCGACCTGACCGCGGCACCCTGCAGGTTCCAGCATGTGCTTCGTCCAGCCTCCGATGGCGAGGGACCGGACTGGGGACCCTGGACCGGACCGAGGGCGGTGGAACAGGGCCTTTGAAGTGAAGACTTGGCTGGTGAACCTGTTGGGCAACAGACAGGTGGCCGGTAGCTACCTGTGGCACACAGACATGGTGTGAGAAACGGTGTGTTCTTCGAAACCAGACCCGAAAGGTCCAGTCCGACCCAGATCCGAACCTGGTCCTTGACCACAAATGAATGAGCGTTTGTATGATCAACTATAGTAAATTGAGGGTCTTCGACCTGTAATTAGGGAGCTACTCTTGAGTTCAAGATCTCTTGAGAACGGTTTTGATTCGCAACCTCATCGGATGTCCGTTGACCTGACGAGCACTCACTCCGTGTGGTGGCCGTGGCAGGTTTGCATGCCCAGATCGAAGTGCATTTGGACCGTGTGGAGGGCTCTAAGGTGGTGGCGAAACGCTTTCCAAGGCAGGGTGTTTGCTCTCGTGTTTGCTCACGGTGAAAGAGGTGGTGGGGTCCGTGGCGGAGAGGGCAGATGATCCTGGATAGGTGAGCCAGTTGTCAGGAGAAACTTGTACTCCATTTACATAACTAAGTGGTTGGGACTGTGGAGTTCCATCAATTTCTTTCTGGTTGTTTTTGGATTTCGAGGTAAAGTAAGAGCCACTTGGTTGATAGTGGGACCTGGGAACTGCTCATGTCTGACATCCGCGGAACGACACGACGGTGGCCTTTCTGGGGCCAAGACACTTCTGGACCAGGTCCTGGAGCCCGAAGAACTTTCTTTTGACGAGCAATTCTAGACCTTGGGATTTTAAACATCGGCAAAGCTTGTCAAACTTGGAATTACTGTAGTTCTGGACCAGGTCCCCAAAGTGAATACGATGGGCCAAAGCAGGACAGGATGCTGCTCGACAATGTTTGTAACCACCCCAAGATTTGTGTCTTCAGACAGATCAGATCGTCTACATGAAAGCATATCGCACCCAAAGCTGTTCTTTGTTTATTTTGTTGTAACATGTTGTAACTCTTATTTGCCAAGATCTCATTGCCATGAAGACCTGGGAGTTCCTGCAGCCCTGGCCCCCCAAATCACAGGGTGAGGACACCAAAAAGGGACATCTTTTGGACACCAAAACTTCAAGAAGCACTCGACAGTCCAAGCACCACCCCTCCCACAACACGATGCCACTGTGACCTCTTGTATTCTCACGCACGAGATGGACGGCAGTGTGGAGCGGGGTGGGGCGGCTTTGTAGTCCTAAATTAATATTGCAGAGAACGAAGTCTGAGTCCAGTCACGGCGTTTGAACTGGTTCTAGACCCCCACATCCTATCCCACACACTTGAACTGACATGTATGCCATGCCTATACATTGACCCATAAAGCATCATAAAACCACCCCAATGTTGCTCAATATGTCACGAAAGGTAGCCCTTTAGGGGATACCTTGAGTTTGTCTTGCGAAGCAAGTGTTGGGACGTCCGGGTCTAATAATTGATCGCTCAATTCAGACCCCCCCCCCCCCCCCCCCTTTAAAATCAATTCTCTCCTGGAGATCGTCTTCGTGAGCCTCTCATGATTTCAGGATAGTTGAAACCCTCTTGAACATTCAGAAAGAGTGAATATGAAATTCTAATCACGAAAGGTGTTCTGTGAAGCACGTCAATTCTCTCCTGGGGAGCGTCTTCGTGAGCCTCTTATGGTTTCAGGATAGTTCAAATCCTATGATGTTCCGATTCAATGCCCACCGATGATCTGAGCCATGGGGCAAGTTTGTTTTCCTAAGAATCTTTTTGAACATTTCGAGAGCACATGTTTGAACATTTAAAGTGCATATGAACATATATGTACGAAAGGTCGCCTCCGAGGGGATAAATCACCATGTCGAACATTGCATTTTTGTTCCTGCCTCTCGCGTTCTCTTCTCTTCCCGCTGTCCTACCTTTCGTGTCTCCCTCCTCTCAAGTCATAATTACATGGAGTGGCTACGAAACATTATGTTACCCTATGGCCCTATATTATATACAATGCAGATATTGGGATCCTGGCTCTTCCCAGGTAGCTTGTTTCAATCTCTCATTCTAGAGATGCCAACGGCTCTCAAACCCACAAACCTGGAATAACGCGGAGGGATCTGTCATGAGTAGTTTCGGGCTCACCGCACGCATCCGCACGCGCAGGGGGTATCTGAAAGACAGCCCAGCTGAATTCCGAGAGACCAGTGACAGTGCTGAGGACTGATCATTCCGCAAAAACGCTCGGTTCGTGACAGCTTGCCTGGGGGTTCAGATAGTTCTTACGGGTTCTTACGAAGATAGATAAACATGGGACACGACGGAAGGACCTGGACCATCCTGGACGCAGGACGTCCAGGGTACAAACAGAGGGTCCAGGTAGCAACATACCCCTTGTCCAAAGTCATGCAGGTTTCATGCTCAGATGCCCTGCATTGCCCTGCGGTTTTTTGTGGTTTGTTCACCAGAAATGCAGTCGCCAACGAGACAGCGAAGTAAGCCTTGAACGGTAACTCAACTTCGAAAGGCCTTGATTCATTGCCTCCACCGGAATGATGAACATCGATGAACTACCAGGACCCCACGGAAGGGGTTTTTCTATACATGGACACCCCGAATCACATCGGGCTACGTATCAATAGAAGCTTCTTGGGGCGGGCGGGTGTCCAGATCATCGGCCTGAGGATGAGACAAGCCCAATGGACCTCATGCGTCTGACCTGGATTTGAGACAACCCCAAGTTCCGCGCAACTGGCGACCGGCGACCGGAGGATCCATGGACCGAGATGTTCCTAGCTGTGAAGCTGGGTCAGGCCTTTTGAGTCCCAAGTTGGGGACTGGGAGGGAGGAAGGGAGGGAGCATAGGAAGCACATATATGATATTTATATTGTGTGTGTTGTTTGTTCAGACCTCTTCATGAAGGGCCCTCCCCAATGAGTTGAACTCTCATAGGTGAATGTGATGTCAAGACCAGGGGATCCAATGATTTTTGGTTTTGACGTGTTCCTTCTTCTTATTACCTTCCAAGATCACACCATCGTATGCCGCGCCGCAACCTTTTGATATTGGACTTGGTCGTCCGGTGAAATCGCTCTGAAGACTCAGGTGCCTTGATCTTCAGGAGGATCTTGGTGGTTGATGTTTCTTCTCACAAACCGACACTTCGGCTTCAACGACCGAGTGTCTGGGCGCCACGGACCTTCTTTCATAGCTCGTTGGAGCCGTGCAAGATGGCACGTGACCGCCATAGGCCGAGTCATGTTGTTCATGTTGCTTTATATTGTGTGCTTCCCCCCCCGAGTATTTAAGCACTCAAAAAGTATGGGCGACCTGGATTGTGAGGCCCGGGCCCTGGTGGCCGTGCTTGGTCCGACACGTCAGCCCTTCCCTGGAATCTGAACTTGCTGTTCAATGCATCCGTTCGGTCTGCACTGATAGTTCAGTCTGCACTGATAGCAGATGATAGCAGACCAATTGAGTCCGATTGAACACCCACGAGAAAGGCAGCAGTCGGAATCTGCAGGTGATAGAAGCAAGGACATGAATGGATGACAGTTGGTTGATATTGGTTGTATCCATCCAAATCAGATCTTCTTCGACTGTTGGGCTTGGTGCGCTTCGGGTTGGGCTTGGTTTCGCCTGCTTTCCCCTGAGACGTCCCTCACCTCCAGGTCCCTCGCACACGTGGGGTGCCGCGCTCAGGGAATCAGGTGAGTCGAACAACGTATCCAGGTTCTGAACTGAACCAACGATGGGCACCAAACTGGGTGTTCTGACGTACCAACCGGGCGTTTGACGTACACATTTGGAGCCTCCAGACCCTGCCCACTCTTGTTCTCAGTTGATGTTCCATTTCGAGAGGCCCTCCGGCCACAGCCCACCGTCTCGTCTACCCTCAAGCCATTGTCATTGTATCTTTGTTCCTGCTCTTCTTCGATCTTCTTCGGTGTTTGTAGTTGGAGAACCCACCCACTCACGAGCGATCCAAACGGAGACGAGTCGTGCCGATCCGGCACAGAGTCGTGCCGATCCGGCACGGATCTGGTGGACCTGCAGCAGGTGGACCCACCCTCTTCGCAGGGTTTGGGGTCCCAAAGAAGTACGTCGACGTCGTCACTGATGAAATCCTGTTCGATCCGGACTGAGTCGACGACCCCAACGATGCGGACTGCCTGTGTGCCGTGTTAGAACGTCCGACTGTGCCAGGTTTGCATCGTTGGGTTGGGTATGATAGTCCCCAGTGCCAGGTTCATGCCCCGCGCCAGGGTTATGTCAATGTGTCTTAACTCTTAACTGAATGCCCACTTCACCGGAACTTTTATGAGAATTTACTTACAATTGGAGAATAGAACCTAAGACGGAGAGATCCTGAGCTTGATGTCATTGAACACTTTCCGTCACTGAGACTGTATAGACTTGACCGGAAGACCTGGCTCCGACCTGGCTCCCCACTTGGTTTTAAACGCTCCCATGAAAGCTCAATAGTCCTGTACCCCAAAGCTGTTGATGTCAACAAAAGGTCGCCGTTAACTGGGTGCTTGGAAGCACCGCAACACACCGCAGCCCCCCATGCAGGGCCCCAGGCACCGCCTTCCTCATGCCACCGCAGCTCCCATGAGGTCCTGCCGTGCCATGGGGTCTTCATTGATCCAGGCTGAGGGTGGTTGAGATGTGCGGCAGGATGAAGAAGAAGCGAGGGGAGGAGGGATCTGTAACAGTGAACGTCACGTTTCAGGATGTGTTTGTTTTTCTTTCATGTTTCGACCAGATACATCAAAGGTCTTACTGGACACTGAAGCCAGACTTACTTTAAAATACAAGCACTCAGGCGCTCGAACATCAGCCAAGCAACAGTCCCAGACATAGTTTCCACCACAAAGTGCTCATGCCTCATGTTCAAAAACTATGCCTGCTTCACCCGAAAACGGTAAGTTGTTCAAAAGAGAGGGGTCTTTTCCCGCATTTATGATGACATCCACCCTCTTTTGCCCATCCGGTCCAGCCAGGATCTGGCGATGTGATGTTCATCATGGAATACGCGGCCTCCGGCGACGTCTTCGAATTAGTTCCTTCGACCCACAAGTTCGACGCGCGGGTCGCGGCGATCAGAGTGTCGTTGGTTTGGGGCGCAACATGCACAGGAAAAGAGTGTTTCAGTGGCGGAGATAGGGATGGGATGTTAAGGATGACCAGATTTAGAAGAGACTTGTTGTGGAAGAAAGTGAAGGACATGTCAACGGCACTCTTTATCCTCAAGAGTTTGCAAGCACTTCAACAGCAAGGGATTTGCCCTGTCCATTCTGGTTTGAGACCTGTTCATAAACGAGTCGGTGGTTCTTACAAAAGCACCCGAACAGCTCGACATCAGCACGACACCAGCTCTACATTGGGGCTCCTTCCTTCGGCCCAGCTGACCGTGACGTTTTCGGATGCGACCGTGACGCCCCCGGGGTGCTGTGGAGTTCTTCGCCCGACCCCCTGCGGAGTGGCTGCTCGGAGCCCGACCAAATCTCTGCCTTTGGTGACTTGACGAGTCTCATCCACACGTCCTGGTTTCGTTGGAAAACGGTTCATGTGCAAGGCATTGGAACATATTGGAACATCCCGTGTGTCTGGAGGTGGTTTTGGGTCGACTAGTGACTGGAGAACGGAACTGTCCGTTAAAAGAAGGTGCTTTCATGTAAGGGATGGTTTAAGAATTGGTGAAGGTCCCGCAAATCATGCAGTGCATGATCCCGGCCCACCTCATCAGTCTTTGGAACACGTTTTGTTTTCACCCATTTCTCCGAGTCCACAACTTGTTGTCCTTTTGCTTATGCCCAAAAAAAGATTTTGTAATTAAGACTTGGAGCACTGCTTGGTTATTGCAATGGCCATCCCGCAATATAATATGGTGCTATAAGTATCAATAAGATCCCCTTAAGAATTTCCTCTACAGAATCGTGCCACCTGGGTACTCCCGAGCACCCATTTTATAGCGCTATAGAATTGAATCACTCAGTCAGGTTCCTCGATTCTAAAAGGAGACCACGAGATACCACGGGAAGTTTCCAACAAGGGTGCAATTTGACCTAGTTGACCTGGGGGTCGTGATTCTAAAGTGATAGAACCCTGAGATATGTTTCCGTGAGCTTTGTACTGGTGACATGGGGACTTTGATTTTTTAGTGGCAGACATGTTGATGGTCATTGACGGATCATGATTCTATAGAGGAACAACCGTTGAGTGTTTTTTAGTGACAGACATTTTTTATTTGAGTGCTCTTTCACCTTTGCTCTGTTCTTTCAACTTTGTGCTCTGTCAACTTTCCTGTGGAAGGCTCATCGAAAACGCATCGGAAAATACTATAGAATCAGAGTCTTTTGAGCTATAAGGATTCGGTCTGTGAGATGGGGGGTTGTGATTCTTTAGTGTTGAATACTTCATATATACTTTCCGTGAGCTTTCACTTCACGACATAGGGGCTTTGATTCTATAGCGTGTGCATGAGTTGGGGGGGTATGATTTTATAGAGACCCCCACATGGGGGGCATCGATCTATAGGGGCTACCCAAGTAGCCATATGAACTTCAACGGGGATTCAATAAGTTACTTTGTATTCACCCGCCAGCCAAAGAGGGTCTATAATATATAATGAACTGTTCCATACTCAAATCATCTCAAATCCACTGCTTTTGATGTATCCCCGTGAGTCCATGCAGTTACAACGATTAAAACACTAACACACATATATATATATATATATTAACTAGTATAAAATAGGAAAACGCTATACAGTTATACAACGTTATACATGTCACCAGTTCCAATGATAGTCATCAAATGGCCGATCGAGGGTTTCTGGTTCCTTTTTTAGAAAAGGGTACCCTTCGATGCATGACCGTCCCACGCTGCTAAGCCAAGGCCAGCTGCTTGGGCGAGCCAGGGCCCGAGCGAGAAGCCAAGGCGAGCCGTCGGAACCTAACGAATGCTCCGTTCGTAGGAGGCCAGGAGCCCCGTTCGTAGCGTCCGAACGCTCCTAGTAGTAAGTCCAGGAGCCCCTCGTAGTTTCTTGTCACTAGCAGAGTCATGTACCATTTCTGTTGAGAAATCCTACAGCCACTGGAGTTCCTTCCTTTTTTCCTGCTTGGAACCCTATGCCTCACAGGACACGGCCGCGAGTCGCCCCAAAGTGTGTGGAGTTGTGCAGGAAACTGTTGCGTGCAAAGGCAAAGCTGTGGTTTATCGGTTTGCTTTGATTTGTGTGTGTATTAAAATGGGAAGAGGTTACCAAAGATCCCTTCAAGAAGGAGATAGGCCAAGACCCGTTGCTTGGGGATCTCCCTTTTTGAGTAACTCGCCCATTTCCAGATTTTCCAGCACCTCGCGGGCGAGTGGCGAGCAGCGAACCGAGGCAGCCAGAGATCGAAACGAGGTGTCCAACTGCCCAACACAGTTCCCGGTGCTTGAGGGCAGGCTTTCTTTTCCCACGCTAAACAAAGAGGGACACACTGGAGGGACAAACGTTCGCAAGACAGGTATCCTTTTCATTCACAACCTTGTCAAGTACGGTAAAATGAAGAGACCGACCCGTTCGATCACTTCCCGAGTGGTCGGTCGCTTCAGTCCGCCGGCGTGCGACGCTCGTGCACGCTAGGCGGCCCAAGTCTTGTGCTCCTTGCTGGATGCAGTGAAGCGGCTCCATAGTCAGGGGCCCCACTGGTTGGGACGACGGGGCACTGGTGGAAAGAAAAAGGTACTGTATGCCTTAGAGTTGGAAGGATGGGAGGTGTGGGGCAACCGCAAAGCAATCCTGAAAACCATGTTTGAAGAAACAACCACTGAACACCATGCGATTAAGATCGTTTTAGCGGATCCGCCTTCTTTCCTAGTATAGATTCTGTTGTTCAAGTTAGATAAGTTTGGAAGGAGGAGTTGTTTGGGATCTCTTGAGGTTGGATGAGTGGGATGAAAATCTTTTTGGTGTTGCTTGCGCACGCCCTTTTTGAGTGCCGGGAGCGCCTTTCCTTTTTTGGGTGTAACTTCCTGGCATTTTGTGGGCTAGATTTTGTTTTAGCGGGGACCCACTTCATAAACCCACACCAATGCTTGCTTGTGTGGGTGTGTTGGCCTTTGTTTGGTTCATCACAGAGTTTTGGGAAGGATTTTCCAGGCAGCCCAATGGGTAGGTGGCTGTTGATCAAAACAGTGGTTTTCTAGAAAAAACGTAGGAAACCCTGGTTTCATCAGACTGTATATAACCGAACAGGGAGACCTCCAGTTGGACCCTTGACAAAATCAAATACGATTGGAAGTATCTTGGTCGTGTGGATTTCACTCTTGAGCTTGTACCAGGGTGTCAGGATCAGGTGTCAGCGGCGTACCCAAAAACACCTCTTTGCTAAGAAAGCAAAGTTGAAAAGACCTTCGACGACGTATAGACAGAGCCATCTTCTTTTCGAAGCAACCTTGGGAGTTTCAATTATAGAAGCAAAGCTACTAGGGGCTCCTGGCCTTACTACTATAGTAGCATTCTTGCTACTATAGGAACAAGAAGCTTGTTCCTAGTAGCTTCTTGCTCCTAGTAAGGCCAGGAGCCCCGTTCGTAGCGTCCTTGCTCCTAGTAAGCAATGCCCTTTGTTACTAGTAGCGAATGACTTGGCTCCCGAAAAATATCGTCTTTCATCCAGGCATGGGGGTTGCCCACTGCGACATCAGCGCCGAGAACGCGTCGGTAGCCCAGTGTTCACTGGTTCTCATTGCATCCAACAAGAACGTCGATGTGTTCATGAAAAACCATCAATCAGGGTACGAGTCTATTGGGGTCGGAGTCTATATAATATAGTCTTCAGAAGTCCAATGAGGGATTGTTCCATCAAATGACCCGTATACTCCCAGATGCCAGCCGTTTCGTCTCCGGAACCCGAGTTCGCTGGGACGGGAGCGAGTTCCTCGGGTTCCGGGGGACGGTTGATTGGGAACTTCCAGAGACTCAAGAATACTTCACCTGGTGACTACACCATCCAGTTTCAAAGTGACCATGGAAATCGATGTTGCAAGTTCAGCGGGAACATAGGAACATAGAAATTCTTCGGGGATTGGATCTCTTTGAAAGCACGCGGAGCAAATCATGGAGCAAGCCGAGGATTCTACGCATGGACGATGGTGAGTTTGAGGTGGGACTGAGAGCCCAGAAAACTTTCAGAAGACGTGAATGGTCTCCAAATGCGACGAGTCGGGCAACACGATTCACGGTGCATTCCTTGACATTATACCTGCTGAGGAGGTTAGGGTGGGTTTGGGGACTCCCTTCTGAGGATATGGTTGGAGAGGCGGCCACCCTTCACGGGATGACGATGGAAGTGACGTACCACACGATGGAAGGGTCATCGGATCAGTGTTTGTGGCGACAGCTTCTAGTCCCATGCACAATCATTTTGAAGTGCTTGGGTGGAGGGAAAAGGCGTGGTGGAACTTGGACAGGAGATGCTTCCCGGCAGCGAGACGTCACAGGGAGATCACTCTGTCACAGAAAAGATATGAGATAAGATAACTCCTGAATCTCACACAGTTCTTGAAGATGTTCTTGGTTCTCATCGAGTGAAGATTGATGTTTTTCCATTCGAGGTCGCAGCTCACCACCTCACCTGCTCAAAACTTGCACATCAAACGAACACCTCAGTCCTGGCCATACTACTACGAGCAAGGACACTACTAGGGGCTCCTGGCCTTACTACTGTGATTCCGACAGCCCGTCGCGGCCCGAGAGCGGTAGGAAAAGGGAGTTAGCCGTTGTGCGTTTTCAGTGGTAGCGGAGCCCCGAAAAGGGGCGGTAGGCTAGCTAGGCTAGTTAGTTTTTGGTAGGCTTGAGCCATGGAGGCTGACGCTCTTGGGGCCGCGGCTGACGAGGTGGATTCGACTTCATCGCCTTCGACGGAGGAGTTGCCGATGCCGGTATTCCTCCACCGGCATCGGAGGGGGCTTCATCGGACCTCGAGGATGGTGAGCACGCCACTCCGCAATGCCCAGGCTGAATCGGGAAGCCCGAGATCGTGGAGGACAGCGAGCGGGGAGCGAAGTGGCGAGAGAGGTGATGAAGGAGCTTCCAGTGGAGAGGCGATGAGCCAGGAGTCTGATCCGTGGCTGGGTGGAGACCCTTGGCAGCGCGGACGGGAGAACTATGAGCCCAAGTATGACAACTGGTCATCTCCGAGCTCTTCGGTGAGTGGCAATGGGACATCACGGAGGAGCAGTTCGAATGACTCTTGGCAATACATTCAAGACACCTCAAGGGAGTCTCGACATGTCTACTGGGCTGATGGTGGATGGAGCCAATCCCAATGGGGTGGATCCCAAGAGGATGACATGGGGGGTAGCTGGTCTTGGTCCTCTTCAGAATCAGGTTGGTCCGGGACAGGACCAAATCAGTGGGGATGGCGAGATGACCTCGCCAGAAATTGGGAGACTGATTCAGAAAGATCAGGGACCAGCGACTGGTCATCGAGCTCTTGGAAGACAGCCCGAGAAGATGATGGACGGGCTGGTGGTGATTGGGGACGAACTTCATCCGGCCTTCAGGGTGGACAAGAACGAGGTTCTGGTGTATGCGCAGGTGATCGGGCGGCGGCTGGACGGCCTACGACCGGGGGTCTACCTGCGGAACTTGGAGAGGGTCCTCAAGCTCAGCATGGTGATCCTCTGCGAAGTGAGGCGAGCAGCCGGGGTGAGCATGACAAGCATGATGGCATGTCGCCCATGTCACCAGCGGCTCAACCAGCTGGTGAGTGGAACAGACCCTCAGGACTAGTACCTTCGGGGCAGCCATCAGTGGCCGGAGGCTCAGGTGGTGCAACTGGGGGGTTCTTTGAAAGAAGGCACCACCGGGAAGATCTCCACTACATACCCTCCCATCTTCTATGCTCGACCAGGCGAGAGTTGGGAGCAGTACTGGAGGACCGTCACCTTCTGGCTGGCCTCGGAAGGAAAGTCATTGCCGGTGGAAATGAGAGGTCCACGCCTCATGCAGCAGCTGAGGGAGCGTGCCGGCAAGATCGTTCAGCATTTGACGGTGGAAGAGGTGACCTCCGAACAAGGAGTGCAGCTCATCAAGCAGGAAATGGAGAAATCACCAATAATCAGGCTCCTCGACAACAAGAAGATTGACAAGAGACGCCAAAAGTTCATGAAGCTGACGAGGTTGGCCAATGAGAGCATCGAGAGTTTCATCAATCGAGCAGAGATCTACCGGCGGGAGAATGAAGCTTCACCTGCATACCGAGTTGGTTCTTGCTTTTATGTTGGTCACTTGCTCGACAGCGCCAAACTGACAAGAAAGGACTTGGCGCTCTTGAAAGCAGCTTGTGGAGGCGATGTCGAGGATGAGACTAAGGTTATCTCCGCGATGTTGGAACTGGCTGAACAATTTGAAGGAGCACCACACTGCCCAATTGGTCGTGGTGAACCTCAATTGGACAATGAGGATCAATACCTGATCCAGAAGCCTGGTACCTCATCTTCCTCAACCCCACCTACATCGGCTTCTGAACATACTCCACGTCGACGCCCTTTTTCACGGGGGCGGGGTGGTGGCTTTGGGCGTTTTCGCCGTGGTCGTATTCGAGACGCTCTGGTTGCCATCTTGGAGGAAGAAGATGACGGTGAAGGGATGGCGGAGGAACTGGCTGAGGCATTGGGGGAAGACTCGCTGGATGAAGAGGAAGAGAGAGTAGAACAGGCCAGCGATCTGAATGAGTTCAACGACGTCCTAGTGGCGGGATCTACATCTGAGACTTCATCGGCGGCAACACCCCTGGCGGAGATCTATGCCCAGGAGTATAAAGCCCGGAATCGGGTGCGAGAGATCAAAAAGATGAGGCAATACTTCCAGAAGGAGGCACCGGGCGGTCCAGCAGCGGCGAGGAATGAACATGTGAAGAAGTGGGTGGCCGAGCAGCAGAAGAAGGAACCCTGCTTCATTTGCCACCAACTAGGACATTGGAGCCAAGAGTGCCCATACCGTCGCAAGGAGAAGCCAATGGTTCACTCCGCAAATGTGACTTTTCCTTCGTCACAGCCACAGCAAGAAGACTGGGCTTTACTGGAGACGTTGGTGTCAGCTGGAGTGTACATGGTGCGACACAGCGGGGGGGAACCAATCGGTGAGACCACCCATGAAATCTTTTGGGCACTGGACGAATTGGCTGGGCAACAACACTCCAAGATGATTGTTGACTTGGGATGTATGAGGACGGTGGCAGGGACTACTTGGATCAACCGAATTGTACCACAGTGGAAAGAGAAGAAGTGGTTCATCAAGGTGGTCCCGGAAGCAGAACAATTTCGTTTTGGGGATGGTCAAGTCGTTCAAAGCAAGTTTGCCGTTCTGCTTGAAGTGGCGATAGCGGGCATCCATGGTGTGCTTCGTATATCGGTCGTGCACGGAACGTGTCCACCGTTACTGTCCAAACCAGTCTGTTCAGCATTGGGTCTGGTCATAGACACGGCTTCACACGCAGTGTCATCACGGAAGTTTGGTGTGAAGGGGTATGGCCTGGAACAATCCAAAGGTGGACACTATGTCATTCCCATCAACGATTTTGGAGACACGACGACGATGTCGATTTCGAGTGATTTTGTGATGCAAGCGCACAAAGAGATTGTGGTGATGTCCGATCCGCGGGGCTCAGCAATTCGGGATCGGGATCCGGACGCCCCCTCCTCACCTGCGGAGCTTGCCCATGTCCACGCGCCGGAAGACTGGAGATCCGGAGGTCTTCGAGCTCAGTCAGCAGGAATGGGAAAACGTGGGGCAGGACAACGAGTTGGAAGAGATGTCCGCCCAAGAGGAAGACACGACCGGGGTGGCATCCCTGAGGCATCCGATGAGGACAATGAAGCGACAGTCATTGAATCGCATGCTACGGAAGCCAACATCCACCAGTCCACCGGGGCGCAAGCCCATGAGCAAAATGACCAAGGGCCGGGACAGCAAGACACCGGAGCCGGATCACCCTGCTTCGAGTTCAGAGGCACAGATGAGCATGGCCCAGATCCAAGCCATGATGGTGCGAATGCAGGAGATGATGATGGCTCAGGGCATGTCCAGGGAGCAGGAAGTCGAGGGAGATCAGGGGCACGATCCGGGTCAACGACATCGAGGACGGAGTCAAGAGCCCGCGAAGACCAAGGACAAGGTGAAGAAGACACCCAGGGCGGTGAGGACGGCGGCCCTCACGGGAGACGAGGCGCCGTTTCCTTCTCTGTCGGCACAGTTCTCGGACGACCCAACGATGAACCTCATGATCAGTCTGCGGTCGCAGACCCTCACGTTCAAATGGAAGCTTCTCCTGCTCATGTTGAGGATCAAGCATGCGGTGGAGATGGAGAAGCGCCGGTGGAAGCGCAATCCAAGGTGGATCATGAAGATGCACGGCAACCACATTGCGAGCCTATGGGGCCACCTGGGAGCGGCAAGGCAGCTGTGCTATTCCCCGAAGGTGGCTTGGCTGGCCCAGTGATGCAGGAGGAGACCTCGACTGCTGAACAGGAGGCTCGGCGGATGGACCGGCTCGACCTCGTCATGGGCACCCCGGGTTCCGAGTCGGCCGTGGACGCCTTCCATGTGGTGCCCGACTATGAGATTGTGAATGACAACGGTGGCGACTATGAGATTGTGAATGACAACGGTGGCCAGACTGACGATGAGCAGGGTGCTTCAGCGTCAGTGGATGAGGAGACGGGAAGACACAAACACACCTTGAATCGGAGACAGCGCCGGACCCTGGTTCAAGGAGTCCAGAAAGCATTGCAGACTCACTCAAAGATCTTTGACGTCCTGGACGCGAAGTCGGCTCAGGTCAAAGCTTGGACTTTGTTTGAAGTCTTTGCGGGCTGTGCCCGTTTTTCTCAACGGGCAATGCACCGTCGCAATGCTTGCTGGGATGTGTTACCCCCACAAGACATCCTGTACGGGCTGGATCTTTTGAAGGAAGATGAACTGGAGATGCTTAAGGATGTCATCAAGACCCAACGCCCCGATGTTGTCACCGTGGCTCCTCCCTGTGGCCCATGGTCTTCCTGGCAACGGATGCGCAAACGGAAGAGTGCCTTGCGGGACCTCCGTCGCCAACACCTACCATTTTGGGATTTTGTCACATGGCTTTGGGAGTTCCAATGT